CGGGAGAGGCCACAACAGTGAGAGGCCCGCGTACCACAAAAAAAAAAAAAAGAAAGAGCGAGCCTGTCCTACAGGTCATCAGAACCCTCCATGCTCTCCTCCTCCTCTGGGCACTCTCTGGGCTGAGTGTCCTTATGGAGAAAGGCAGGCACGGGTTAGATGCAGGAGCAACAATTTACTAGGCCTTCGGGGACGGAGGCGCCTTCCCAGCAAGCCCACTGCATTTCCCCAGTCATATGTTTACGTGGGTGGCTCTGGGAAGGCTGGTGGACAGGAGCAAAAGGCTGAAGCCAATTATCTTATTTGTTATTCTTAACTTTTTTTTTTTTTTTTTTTTTTTGCGGTACGCGGGCCTCTCCCGTTGCGGAGCACAGGCTCCTGACGCGCAGGCTCAGCGGCCATGGCTCACGGGCCCAGCCGCTCCACGGCATGTGGGATCCTCCCGGACCGGGGCACGAAGCCGTGTCCCCTGCATCGGCAGGCGGACTCCCAACCACTGCGCCACCAGGGAAGCCCCTATTCTTAACTTTTAATTACACAATAAACAAATACATTCTCCTTGTAAAAAAAAACTGAAACATGAGAGTTTAGGCTAATGTCACTAGCTCCGATCCCAGGCTCCTTCCCACCCACGTCCTTGGACCTAACAGTTCTTATTATTAGTTTGAAAGAGACACCATCAGGCTGTTACACGTTCACACATGTGATCCCCATAAAAAATACATATAAAAAATCATTTCTAACATAAAAAGGGATCATCGTACAAATCTACTTATAATCTGCTTTTTTAAAAAGCAATATATTTTAAGATCCCAGGTAGAAAGTATAGACCCATCATGTCCTTTTTAACTGCTGCCAGTGTTCCCTGGTGCAGGCACGCCACACTCAGCAGGTCACCAACCCAAAGAGGCCTCCTTATGCGTGTGTGTGTCTCTCTCTGCAGTAACCACCAGTGGGGGCCAGTGGGTCACTCACGGTCCCCCAACGCAGGCTAGGAGAGCACATTTCCTCCTCAGAGGCATCGCTCCACAGGAAACACAGGCCACCCCAATGCACTTGACCTAAGGCCTATGAATTACAAACAGAAATGTATGAACAGCTGGCCAAAGCCCTAAGGAGACCAAGAAGGACCACTGGTGTGTACCGTGGAAAGTGGCTTTGGAGCAGGGATCGGCAAAGTACAGCCCACGGGCCAAAACAGGTTATTTCTGTAAATAAAACTGTACTGGAACACAGCCATGCTCACTGGAACACAGCCATGCTCACTGTCAACAAGCTGTCTGTGGATGCAGTGGTAGAGTTAAGTATGGGCTGCAAAGCCTAAAATATTACCTGGCCCTCTACAGAAAAAGTGTGCCGAGCCAGCTTTACAGCATAGCGTGGGGCAGGGTGACTGGTGCAAAGGAAAGAAATAATATTTAACCATCAACACTCAGAATCGGAGGAGATCCTAGGGGTCTTCTAACACCACCTCTCAACTCTTCTACGCCTGTGTTTAGGAACAGAGTCTGGAAACGGAAACCACAACAAAAATAAAACTCATTCTCCTGTAGTTATGAATACAGGCTTTGGAGTCAAACCCAGGTTTGCATCTCAGCTCCTACTTCCCCTTAACTCACTGTGAGGCCTCGCATAAATTAGTCACTCTCAGCTTCCGCCCCCTCATCCATGCAACTGCGAATACTGACCTTCCAGGGCCACCGTACGGCACTTAACACACTGCCCCACATACAGGACACGCACAGTAAACGGAAGCTCTGGTGAGTCAACTCGTTAATACTTTGGTTATCTACCGAACGAGGACATAATATGCACGGGATGGCCACTTTTCTACATCCCCTAACCTTCAAATTAAGAAGCTTCTTAAAGGACAACAGTGTTCTTGAGAGGACGTTCTTGAGAGGACACTGAGAATCAAACTGAGGGGAAGGAAGAGATCTTGGAAGTAACTCAGTCCATCTCTAGGACTCCTACCAAGGAGCCACTCCAGATACCTGAACAGCCCCGGGCCTGATGCCCACATCCTGAGGGTCCAGCCTTAGAACACGCAGATTCCTCTCCCAGCAGTCCCCCCATCCTGAGCCTTGTCCTTTCTTTGAAGATTTACAGGAAACCCCAAATTCCTTCTCCCCAGGGCAGTCCTTGACCTGCCTCTGTGTATTCTCTTTTCTGGGACCTTTCATTAATGGTCATGGTTTAAATGTCCTTCATCACTGACTATGGTCTCTAGGGTTTCAGTCTCCAGATACCAGGTTTCAATAATGGAAACCTAACCTAAGCCCTCAAAATGGCACAGGCTGGGAGTCCCTTTGGAAACAGTCATCAGTATAGTCATGTTCTGTGACTACCCATCTCACAAGTCGGTCAAACAATAAAACTAGTTGCTAGTTTTAGTTCTCCTTTTCCTATTGGAAATTCAAGTTGTGCTCTTTACCAAGCTTTAAGAAAAGAGTTTTAAAGATTCTCCTCGTAAACAAGATAGTCACCAGCATGGGGCTGGCAGAAGGCTCATTACTACAAGGCTATAGTGTGAAATGGAGAGTAAAGAGAACATTCCCATTTTCCCCCCATAAACTACAGTTGCTTTTACATTTATCCTAAATTCACTCTAGAATGTGTGAGAATTATATACAACACATGAAACCACAGCCTTTTCAGAGAATTTCAGAACCTTATGAAAAGTCTCATGAAGGAAACCACTCTGAAAGACCACTCGCTTTGCAAGTGCTGGCAGTCATTTCAAAACGACTCACGCACATCTCAGATGAGTAAGGCTGGCATCAAAGTGGGTTGCTTTCCATCTAGTGCGTCTGCTGTGCAAATACCTGCCATCTAAAGATGGCTGGAGTCACAGTGTGAAGACCTGATTTGCCTCTCCTGGTTACCAGCTACAAGTCCTTGGCCTTCCCCTTCCCGACAGCAGAGATAGATGCTTGGTTAAAAACAGCTTCCCTAAAAACAAACAAACAAACAAACAAACAAAAAAAACAGCTTCCCTCACCAGAATTTAAGGTCCAGGACAGCAGAGATTTTTTCCACTATTATCTTCTCTGCTGTACACCCAGGGCCTAGAATAGTACCTGGCAGAGGGAGAGGCTTAACAAATGTTCGTCAAATAACAAATGTTTGTGGAATAAAGCCTGACCTCACTGAGTTGCAATGATTAACACATGGAGTTGAAAGAAGTCTGCAAACTAAAAGGTGTCAGAAAGTATAAAGAATTATTATTTTTATTAGTGATGTACCTCACTCAAAGAAAATTTGCTTTTTGGGAGTCAGTATTGAAGAGAATTAGAAGGGTGAAGCCTAGATGTAATTAATCCTCCAGGCCTCTATGATCCCAGGCACCTGGCTATCTCTTCATCAGAATGTTTTCTTTCGGCTAAATACCATTTTCTGAGCGCTGTGAATTCTTATGACAACTCAATAAAGCAGGTACTACAAGTCCCCTTTGAGACACGGGATAAGTGACGCTTGAAGATGAAGACACCTCCTCAAGGTTGCCCACCTGGAAGCAGCAGACAGTCTCCCAACACCACAGAGAGTGACCTGACACCCCGCATTTCAGGGGGCAAGCCCGACAAACACCCAGATTTAGAAAAATGTGCGTAGTAAACACGCCTTGTTTGGAAAACAATTTATATCACGTGTCAAAGAAAGTACACATAACTCTGATTCAGTATTTCCCCTTTGGAGAATTTATCTTACGGAAAGAAAGGAAAAGCTCAATGACGGTCACTGCATGGTTTTTCTAAGAGGAGGAACACTGAACATATGGAAAAGTTACATAATGGGGTAATTAAGTAAAACTCTGAATATACATTCAATACAATAAAAACGGTAAATATCCGGGACTGTACGAAAGTGCTTACGTTAAGTAAGAGCAGAACTGCATCTCCTCCAACCCAAGCTGGGTAATAATGGTACAGACGAGGTCGGGATAGGAATACGGACAAGAAGGGTAGGACTTCGTGGGGTTCAATAATGTGGGTGAATCACTTACATTTGTGCATGGAACAGTTTTAAACATTATAAATCACATTTTCTCACACCCCAAATCCCCATCCCGAATTTCCCATTCCTTGCAAAAGCTAAACACCCAAACCGCGTCAATATTAATAAAAGGTGGGAAAAGTCGGTATCATCACTGTGCAGTACTGCTGGAAACCATTTAAAAAGCAGAAAAAAGCCTTAGAGCTACATCCCTGTCCTCACTCAAGCTCCGCGGGGCAACAGAAAGGCCCGCGCCGCAAGGCCAGCCCAGCACCGCCAGGGATGTCAGTCTGCGCGTGAGGCTGGGCTTCCGCCCGCAGCCGCAGGTCCCGTACCGGCCGGACGGGCCGCGCGCCAGGCCCGCGGACGCCTACGAACCGGACCGGGCTGAGGGCTGCGCGCGGCCGGGTCCCCGCCGAGCCCCCGCCCCTGCACCTGTGCCCCGCAGGGCCGGCCCGCCGGCCGCGCCACCACCGTCGCCGGCTCCCGCCCGCCTACCTGGCCCCGACCCCAGCCCCGGCCCCGCCGCAGCCTCCGCTGCCGAATGAGGAAAGCGCCGAAGCACTGGCCGCCTCTCCAAGAGCAAAATGGCGACTCAAGCCCGAGAACTGCGTCCGCAGCGACTGCGAGGCCTGTGGGCGGGGCCGCTCAAGGGGGCGGGGCCGCTCGAGGGGGCGGGGCCGCTCGAGGGGGCGGGGCCTCGGGAGGGACCATCCGTGTGAGGGGCGGGGCAGGGAAGGCGCCCACAGAGGGGAGGCGCGGGGCCTTCTAGTCTAGCTGGAATACCCCAGGCCGGACGAGGGGCGGGGCCATGGGCGGGGCGAGGCCATGAGTGGGGCGGGGCTGACTGGAGGGGTGGGGCCAGGCGGGGCGAGGGGCGGGGAGGGGCGGGGCTGAGCCTCGAGAACCCGAGGGCGGACTTTTTTTTTTAAACAAATTTATTTATTTATTTTTGGCTGCGTTGGGTCTTCGTTGCTGCGCACGGACTTCCTCTAGTTGCGGTGAGTGGGGGCTACTCTTCCTTGTGGTGCGCGGGCTTCTCATTGCGGTGGCTTCTCTGTTGCGGAGCACGGGCTTTAGGCATGCTGGCTCAGTAGTTGTGGCTCTCCGGCTCTAGAGCGTAGGCTCAGTGGTTGTGGCGCACGGGCTTAGTTGGGCATGTGGGATCTTCCCAGACCAGGACTCGAACCCGTGTCCCCTGCATTGGCAGGCGGATTCTTAACCACTGTGCCACCAGGGAAGCCCGCGACTGCGGACTTTGATGTCTGGAATTACAAATGTCTGGGTTCAAGTCTTTACTGGCCTGTAACTTTGGGCAATGTCACTTCACCTCCCTGAGCCTCAATTTCCTCAGCTGAAAAATGGAGATGATAGTAGCACCCATCTCAGGGGTTGCTGTGAGGATTCAGTAAAATAACACCTGCGGAGCTTCCAAAACAGTTTCTGGTGCATAGTAAGCCCTCAGTTGTTATTATTACTATTATTTGCTTTGTTGCTCTTTCTTCTTTTATCACAAAGTAAGGAATTGGTGCTTGCCTGAATTCCTTATATTTAAGTATGTTTAATATATATATAAAACATAATAATAGAAACACGTATGGAGCACTTACCATGTGTCAGGCCAAGTGCTTAACATGTATTAACTGTAACTTATTTAATCCTCACAGAACTATGAGGTAGGTGTTATTATGATCTCCATTTTAATAGTTGTGGGAACTGACACCCTGATGTTAAATATCAATAACTTGCCTAAGGACAAACAAACATGGACAAGAACTTCAACCCAGGCAGTCTGGCATCACGGTCTGCACTAAGCTAGACCCTATACCACATCGCAGCTCCAGTTCTGCTTTGGATTTTTCACTAGAGTGAGGCTTGAAATCGTTCGTGAGAGGTGGCACGGCCAGCCAGAAGCGGCCGGACTCAAATGGAGTCATTTAAGACATTTCCTTTGCCTGACAGCTTCACGGGGTCATACCTCTGTGAAGAACAAGCCCCGTGAGCCCACAGACAGATTCGGGTACAAAACTGAATGCCCTTACTTCAGTAAGTGGACTTTGGTTTCACCCACTGCTTTTGCGCAGACCCAACCCTGACGCACCCGACCTCCTGGCTTCAACCTGCGTTGGCTCCACCCAGCACTCCAGGTTGCACGTGACTGGACCTGACCAATCAGGGCCACTCATCCCTTTCGGCTCGCTGATTCGCTCCAAGGACAGGCCGCTGAGCCAATGGGAGACCAGAAGACGCAATCTCACGCCGCAGTGGGCTACGGAGCCCGTAAATTCCTTCCCTTCACCCTCTGAAGCCAGGGGCATGCGTGTTGTCCCCTTGCTTACTTCTCGTTGTTCTTTCCCACCAGCCTGTTCCTCCATCCCTGAACTGCAGGGCACGTACACATGCTGTTCCTGCCTCCAGGAATGCTTTTCCTCCTGCTGCCCTCGCCCCTCATTAACTCCTACTTAAACATCTAAGCACAATTGTCATTTTTAAGCCTTCTCCAAACCCCTCACCTTCTCAAAAAAAAAAAAAAAAAGTACTTTTCCTTCGTTAGGCTTATCATGATCGCTAATTATGTGTTTATGTGGATGGTCATTTTATAAATATCCCCACCCCCGCCCCTATAGACTATAAGCCCCTACGGGCAGGTCCTTTGTCTCTTTTGCTGATCCCTGTTTGCAGGTACCCAGCACAGTACCTGGCACAAGTGTGGTACTCAAGAAATGTCGGTACCATGGGTGATCTCAGAATTACCCCCCACCATGGAAAGGAGGAGGGCAGTAGCACAGAATTGTATAGTATTTTCACCACACAGGGACAATATTCCTGATAATTTAAAAATCGTCTCTGCTGAGCCAGTATGAGCTAGCTCCCACATACCATGCTCCCATCATTTGGCAATGAAATTGTTAGTTTCTCAATCAATCAGTTTCTCCTCATTGGAGGCACTTAGCTTACAGTTTCCCTTGCTCTATTACACCAGATGCCACTTCTCCATCCACTTTCAGTTCTCCAAAGACTCTTTTGAAATCCTCCATAGGCTGATGTCTCATCTCCCTTCCTCTTTATCCTTGGGGTTTAGGCCATGGGAGTGAGCCATGGTGGACATCCAGCCCAGATGACCCACTGGTGGCTGCAGCCCCAGTCACGACCTGACTGCAACTCTATGAGAGACCCCAAATGAGAGCCACCCAGCTGAGCCCAATCAAACCACAGAAGATTGAGAGATAATAAATATTTGTATTAAGGTGCTGAGTTTGGAGATATCTTGATACACATCTATGGGTAATGAGCAAGAAAGGAGCAAAACCAGAATCTAAAGACTGGGGTCAGTTTCACTCTAATGCGGTTGTGGTCAGCCTATTGCTAAGCTTGATAATCCCCTGCCCACTTGGAGGTTTGCAGGGTCTGCATATTATGGAAGTGCTCAGTTTGCCTGTACCACCTCATTGACCATATTCAAGGGCCAAACTGCTGCACATAGAATATGAATCAAGACACCTGATCCTAAGACATTTCCCTTCAACCTTTTTTTAAAGGAAGGAAAAGCATCTTTGCTATAGTTTGTTTTTTTTTTTTTTCCCTGCGGTACGCGGGCCTCTCACCGTTGTGGCCTCTCCCGTTGCGGAGCACAGGCTCCGGACGCGCAGGCTCAGCGGCCATGGCTCACGGGCCCAGCCGCTCCGCGGCACGTGGGATCTTTCCGGACCGGGGCACGAACCCGTGTCCCCTGCATCGGCAGGCGGACTCTCAACCACTGCGTCATCAGGGAAGCTCTGCTATAGTTTTATAAAGGTTTTTAGTGGAGTGGTAAGCCAGAAACCCCCAGTCTGCGTCCAGCCTCCTCTTTGCAGAAATGACCTCAAGTGAAGGCACCTCTCTGAGCTTCAGCTTCCCCATCTGAAAAATGGGCACTGAGATCAGCAGCTGCATGGAGATTCTGGGTGGGAATGACTTTTCCGTGGAATCAGTGAGTTTTGCAGCTGCCTCTCCGCCTTCGTGTCTCTGGCCATCAGGAATGAATAAACAAGGCTTTGGTTTTCCTGCAAGTGGAGGAGGATGGCAGCTTGTCTGGCCATTGGAAGCTGCAGAGGCCAGGGGCCTGGTCACTAGACAGGGAAATTGGGAAGTTTCCCACATTGTGTTCTTTCCCTCATCCTCTGGATTTTCTCCTTTTTTAACCCCCCCCATTAGAAAAGCTTCATTATCTTTCATGATGAGTAATATTTACATGTTATAAAAAATTCAAACAAACATGAAGAAAAAATTTAAAAGATATTTGCCATTATCTCACTGTGGAGAGATAAGCATTTGACTTTTTTTAACCTCCCTATTCCACTTAACAATTTATTTATTATTTTTTAATTTATTTATTTTTGGTTGCATCGGGTCTTCGTTGCTGTGTGCGGGCTTTCTCTAGTTGAGGCGAGCGGGGGCTACTCTTCATTGCTGTGCTCGGGCTTCTCATTGCGGTGGCTTCTCCTGTTGCGGAGCACGGGCTCTAGGCACGCGAGCTTCAGCAGGTGTGGCAAGTGGGCTCAGTCACTGTGGCTCGCGGGCTTTAGAGCGCAGGCTCAGTAGTTGTGGCGCACAGGGCTTAGCTCCTCCGAAGCATATGGGATCTTCCCGGAACAGGGCTCGAACCCGTTTCCCGTGCATTGACAGGCAGATTCTTAACCACTGCGCCAGCAGGGAAGCCCCTCCACTTAACAATTTATTGTGGACACGGTTCATGTTAATGAATTAGGTCAATGTCATCATCGCACGTACAATGGAGTAAAGAGCAGAGACTTAGGAACCAGACGGCCTGTATCCAAATTCCTTTTCCTCTACTCACTGGGTGTGTGACCTCCTTTACCCCTCTGCACTGGCTTCCTCACCTATAAGATGGGAATGACCACAGCTTCCACCTTACAGGGTTGTGGTGATATCCAAATGAGCTGTCACCTGGCACACAGGTGCTAACCTCTCACTACAGCCACACTTACCGTGAGCCGTTGTGATATGGAGGCACCCTGACATTTTTAACCCATCTCCAATTCTGGGCACTTTTTACTAATAGACACACCTGTCTTTGCACCTTTGCTCAAGTATTTTCTCTCAAAGACAAATACCATATGATATCACTTGTATGTGGAATCTAAAATATGGCACAAATGAACCTGTCTATGAAATAGCCTCACAGACATAGAGAACAAACTTGCGGTTGCCGAGGGGGAGAGGGGGTGGGGGAGGGATGGACTGGGAGTTTGGGATTAGCAAAGGCAAACTATCATATATAGGATGGATGAACAACAAGGTCCTACTGTGTAGCACAGGGAACTATATTCAATATCCTGGGATAAACCATGGTGGAGAAGAACACGGAAAAGAATGTGTCTATATATATGTATAACTGAGTCACTTTTCTGTACGACAGAAA